ATGAAGTGTTGCATTTCTTCTGGATGGTCATACGCCCCATAAAAATGTTACCTTTTACGCTTTTTTTCTTTGAAAAGAAGAGGAGACCCACCGGGGGCCAAGTAGCAGTTTCTGGCATTTTTTTCTCCCCCCTAGAAGACGGATGAACATGAAATCAGAACTGAGGTATTAACTGAATTCTGTTCATCGAAAGCATTAAGGTATACATTCATAGGGTTGCCGCTATCCAGCGGTTAGGAATCCTGTTTTTCAGGCCACCTTTTCCTCTTGCCAGTGCAGGAAATGCAGTCCCGAAGCTTTACTCTTTGGTCATGCCCTTTTCAGTATCTGTTAACCCGTTATTGTAACTAGGAACAAAATGACAGGATACAATTTTAAATGAAAAACCCTACTGTCTTAAGAATATACCTTCAATGCTTCCAAGATGTCTGGTTTATATATTATTCCTTTCAGTCAGCTGTTCTTCATAACCATAAAAAGAGTTCATTTTTCTTTATAAGACTTGAGCTGGTTGGAAAATTTAGACAGCTAGAAAGCATTATTCATTTTTATGTAGAGTAGGATACTTTTATAAATGGCTGATTGCATTGGTAGATGTTTAAAAAAAATTGTTTTTTTACATTTATTTATTTTTGAGAGACAGAGAGAGACAGAGCGTGAGCAGGGGAGGTGCAGAGAGAGGGGGAGACCCAGAATCCGAAGCAGGCTCCAGGCTCCAAGCGGTCAGCACAGAGCCTGACGCGGGACTCTAACTCACAAACTGTGAGATCATGACCTCAGCTGAAGTCGGATGCTTAACCGACTGACCCACCCAGGCGCCCCTATATATGTTAATTTTTTTTAAATGGTGCTATTATCAGGATAACCTAATTAAAGGTCTGTATGTGTGTCCATGTGGGGGTGAGGAGATTACTTGCTTTTTTTCCCTCCCTATTCTGATTCATTCCTTAAAGCCTCAGTTTTAGAACTTGATAGTTGTCTGACCTTTGATCAGTTACTTTTCTGGGCCTTTGTTTATCTATTTGCTGAGAGATTAGGGTTAAGTAGGTGAGCTTTAAAAAACTGAGGTATGGGGCACTTGGATGGCTCAGTAGGTTGAGTGTCCAACTTCACTTCAGGTCATGATCTCGCAGGTCGTGGGTTCGAGCCCCGCATTGGGCTGTCAGTCTGTCAGTGCAGGGACCACTTCGGATCCTCTGTCCCCCTCTCTGTACCCCTCCCCTGCTAGCGCTCTCCCAAAAGCAAATAAATATATTTTAAAAAATTTTAATAAAAGCTGAGATATCACTGACGAATAAAATTGTAAGATATTTAAAGTGTACAATGTGCTCGTTTGATGTATGGACACACTGGGAAAGGATTCTTCCAAGATAATTAACATACCTGTTACCTTATATGTTTACTTTTTGGGTTTTGTTTGTTTTTTTTTTTTTTTTTTTTGGTGAGAACACTTAAATTCTACTCTCTTAGCAAAACTTACTCATAACTGAGTTTGTATTCTTTTACCAATCTCTCCCTATTTTCCCTATCCCACCCGCACTCCCCACCCCAGCAGCCACTTTTCCACTCTCCGTTTCTAGTTCAACTTTTCTTTTCTTTAGCTTCTACATACAAGTGATACCAGGCAGTTATTTGTGTTTCTCTTTCTGGCCTAATTCACTTAGCATAGTGCCTTCCAGGTTCATCCATATTGTCGCAAACCACAGCGTTTCCTGCTTTCTTTTTTTTTAATGGCTAAATAATAATCCACTGTACATATACCACATCTTTATCCATTCATCCACTGATGGACACTTAGGTTATTTCCACAGCTTGGCTCTGAGGTGATGACTTCACTTTCTTTGAGTATATACCCAGCACTGGAATTACAGGATCATATGGTAATTCTATTTTTAATTGTTTTGAGGAACCTCCATACTGTTTCCCATGGTGGCTGTATCAGTTTATGTTGCCACCATCAGTGTACAAAAAGGTTCCCTTTTCTCTACATCCTCATCCAGGATCTGTTATCTCCTGTCTTTTTGAAAACAGATATCCTAACAGATATGCGATGATATCTTACTGTGGTTTTGACTGTATTTCCCTGAGGATTAGGGAAATAGATCGTTTTTGGGAAAATGTCTATTTGGAGCCTTTGCCCATTTGAAATTAGGTTATTTGGGAGTTTCTGTCTCTGAGTTGTACAAATTCCTTGTATATTTTGGATATTAACCCCTTATCAGAACACGTGGATTGCACATATTTTCTCCCGTTCCATGGGTTGCCTTTTTATTTTGTTGATGGTTTCCTTTGCTGTGAAGAAGCTTTTGAGTTTGGTGTAGTCCCACCTGTTTAATTTTTCTTTTCCTGCCTTTGCTATTGGTGTCACATCCAAAAAAAAAAAATCTGTATTTCATGTATTCCCATTCTGATCTTTTAAAATTTACTTCCTTCTGCTAACTTTGGGTTTAGTTTGTTCTTAATTTTCTTTTCTAGTTCCTTAAAGGTAGGTGATTTTTAAGATTACAATCTTGTGTCTCCCGCCTTTTTTCTGCCTTTATTTTAATCGAGCATTTTACATGATCCCATTTTCCTCTCCTCTCTTAGCATATCAGTTCTTTTTTCATTTTTTAGTGGCTGCCCTAGAGTTTGCTATAAACATTTACAACGAACCCAAGTCCGTTTTTTAAAGAGCACTATACGACTTCTCTGAGTTTTCTTTTCGTCTCACATATCCTGGACCGGGCACTAGAAAGTCTCTCAACCCAGAACTATGAACAGGCATACACGACAAACAAACGAACAAAACAAGAATTTTAAAAATCCTCCACGCCTGCTCTCTGGGGCCAAAGTGGCAGAAAGGGGGCAGCCTAGCACAGACCTAGCAAAGGACCCATAGCTGGAGTCACAGGCTGGCCCACTGTGCCGGAACCAGAGGTTTTAAGCGAAGACCAAATGGGAAACCCCATCCTCTGCCCCACACCCACGGCGGCAGGTAGGCCCATACTGCCCACCCCAGTAGCACCAACAGCCCAGCCAGCATCTCTTGGCCCAGTAGCCGGCTGTAGAGAGCAACCTGGGCCCAGCACTTCCTGGCACTTCACACAGCGGCAAAGGACAACCCAGACCCAGTGTCTTCCAACTCTCTACCCAGCAGCAAAAGGTGGCCCAGGGAAATGCCTTCATCCCCACAGGCAATACTAACAGAGAACGAATGGGGGCCCCACTGGCACCACGTGGCGTGGACCACAGGATGGGCCCCAAAAAGTGCTCACAGACCCACAGGTACAGCATCTATCTTCCACCTTCCACCTAGCAGCATCAGGCCTGGGGCATTCTACTCTGCTCTCAATGGTGGCATCAGCAGAATTGAGCAGAGAGCCCCAGCAGTGCCAGGTGAACAAAACAAACCAGAACAGCACTGTAATGGCTCTAAAAATCAAACTGTCATTGGAACTACAGCCCACAAAAGTAGACTAGGTCTTATATTCTAAACCTCAACAGGGCAAACACCTGCTAAGATATATACTTAAATGGGATCAAGAGTCTCCTAACATGATATGCAAGATATCCAGGATACAATTTAAAAATCACTCATCATACCAAGAACCAGGAAGAACTTCAATAAGAGAAGACAACAGACATCAATACCGAGACGAATCAGATCTTGGAATTAATTATATGCCAAGAATTGTAAAGCAGCCATTATAAAAATGCTTCCACATGCAATTTGGGACTATCAAAACAAATGAAAAACAGAAAATCTCAGCAAAGAAACAAAAGTGATAAAAAGAAAAAGAATCAGATTATCTAAAAGACTATAATAACTGAAATACTCAATGGGTTCTACAGTAGAATGCAGAGGAAAGAATCAGAACTTGAGAACACATCAATAGAATCCACTCAGTCTTAACAGAGAAAACAAATACGATGACAAAACCTGAACTGAGCCTCAGGGCTTCTAGTACAATAACAAAACAGCTACCTTTTGTATTATCAGAGTCCCAGGAAAAGAGGAGGAAAAAAAAAAAAATGGATTAAAAAACTACCCAAAGGTATGACTGCTGAAAACTTCCCAGACTTGGTGAAAGACAAAATCCTACAGATTCAAGGAGTTTGGGAACCCCAAACAGAATATACCTAAAGAAGTTCACACCAAGACATCATAATTAAACTTCAGAAAACCAAAGAAAAAACCTTGAAAGCAGCCAGAGAAAAACAACATCATAGAACACTAATTCAAATGACAGACTTCTGATCTGAAACCACGGAGGCCAGAATTAAGTGGTAGAGCACCTTTCAATTGCTGAAGGAAAAGCACAGTCAACAGCAAATTCTTATATCCAGTGAAATTATCCTTGAGAATGACCACCCCCCCCCCCACCGTGCCAAAAAAAAGTCTGATATGAAGGAAAACCAAATCCAGGGATTAAACAGATTTGAGTAACACGGAAACCATCATCGTTTGGATTCTTCTTATCTGTACCCAGGGAATGAACAGAGATGGCCAGGAATACTTGGGCCATAAAATGATACATAGCTTTTTACATTAAAAAAAAAAAAAAAAAAAAAAAAAAGCTTTAATAAGAAGTTATTTTACAAAGAGCTTTTAATAATTTGAGAAAACACTCAAGACAAAATATTAAAAAAACACAGTAAGAAGCAACAGACAAAACTATAAATATAGTTTTAAGTATCTTGTGAGCACATAAAAGAAACTAGAAAGAAATATTACAAAACATGATCAGTGATTACAATGATTGCCTCCCAACAGGAAATTATGAATTTTTCCTGTTTTTGTATTTCCCAATTTAACTAAAATCTTTACTTTTTCAATCCTTGCTAGCTGTGTAATTAAAACCCGAACCACAATGTGCTGGCTGAAACTCACGATTCCAAGAGCCATGACAACATTCAGAGGTTATGAATTCTGCAGAAGAATGGGGAATGGCCTCAACAAAATGAGACGGCACGACTGTCACTGCACCTTCCCCAAAAGAAGAGTGTTGTCATTTACATACCTGTGAATCTGTCCGTTTTTATGCAGGTATTCCAACCCTTCCAGCACTTCTCTAAGTATTGTAGCAATGGTAGCTTCGTCTAGGACTCCACTTTTGTGCTCCCCCTTTGCCACAATGTGCTTAATAATATCGAGAACAGAACCTAAAAACCGAAGACAAAATTTGCCATAAACTTTTGACTCATGTCATATAATTCAAAGCCATTTTGAAATCAAACCAATGTAAACCTTTTCACAAACTTAATTGTATAGGAAAGGAAAAAAAAGCAAACACAAGGAAATACAGAAGTTTAAAATTAATAACTTCTCCATTTTAATCTAAAACAGAAAGCAGCCTACTATCCAAATAGCAGTGTTACACCAGCATTTCCTTTAGACTTTTTAGTAAGAATTTGGAAAAGGTGGTAGAGGATTTTTAACCACGTCTGAAGAATCCCTAGGTAAACCTTACCCATCTATAACACATTAGTATAAAATACCACAAACGAATTTAAGTTTCCGACACTGGATCAGACTATGCAACACTATATGATTAAACATACAAAAATACAATTGCAACACAGGTCAGATTACAGAAGAAATACTTGGAAAGTCAGGGTCACATGTGGGTTAAAATTAATTTTCAGTTTAATAAATAGTAAGTAAGGCAAGGAAAAAAATGAAAGGATAAAAAACGGCAGTTCTCTCTAAATAACAGCTACGATGTATTAGCAATCGCACTCTTCCCAGGATCAGAAATAATGCCCCGACTAAAAACTGGGGGGAGGGAGGGAAAAGATACCTACATAGTAATTAAAATCATAGAATCTTGACTGCCATACATAATTATAATAAAAAGTCTGCTGAAGATTAGTAAGATTTCTCGTAGTACAATGGCCCATAAAGATCACAGAACCAAAACAAAACAATCTTTAATATTAGAAATTGTGCCAAGAAGTAGAATATAACATAAACTGCACAGAAAAGATTAGATTTCCATTTCTTGGCACAAGACCTGAATGATCAAGGCTAAAACTGAAACACAAACTTATGGTGAAAACTTGCCCTGGTGGGTGCTTTTATTTCACACACTTAACAAGTAAAAAATGTACTTCCAAATAGATGGAAAGCAGGGTCTAGATGGGATCCTCCAAAACTTGGGAGGATAGAACACACATTTACTTCAGCTCCCACTTGAAATCCATTAACTCCATACACTTGATAAAACAGGCATAAACCCCGGATGAAAAAGAAAACAGAGAAGATAAAGAAGAGAGACAACAATCATGTTTTGGAGGAAGGAAAACAAAAAGCTAAGCAGAAGAGAGAAATCTGAAACTCCAATGCCTGTGGAGGACTATGCCAATTAGGAAACGGCATATCCCAATAGAGCACATACACCAAGGACTACCTAAGGGGAAGTGAGAGGAGATTGAAGAAAAGGGCTGGAAACGGGAAAACTGGTTGAAAATTCGTATAATGGGGAAGAAGATGCCCAGATTCCTCCTCCTCTCTGGAAACCAGACCACTGCCACTCCCCATGTCCAGCAGGAAGACAGACAGTTTACTTTCTGGAGACAGTGAACCAGGGAGGCTCCAGATCCCAGGTGGTGCCTTCTAATACACTATTCAGACTTTCCCCTCTTTATTGCTGGCATTCACAAGACTGTGACTCACACAGGGAGAGGCCTAAAGGAGACCTTTTAAAAGTTCTGCTTAATCAATCACATATTAATCTACAAATCAAAGTCACTATACCACCAGGCCATATGTCTCATTTTTTTGAGAAATCCAGGCCACATAAGAACTGCTTAGTAAGAAGACATTTGTATAAACGCCAATTGAGATACACGTTTGTAATGCAAAGAATATCGAAAATAGGGAATGCAGAGGGGAAAATTCCTACTAGGAATTAAAAACTAACACAATGTATTCATTCAACAATTTGGCCATATTATATGCAAGATCTAGAACTGGGTGCCACAAAATATGTCAAGATACACATGGCACAACAGTTGAATTTCCACAACTGGGAATTTCCAGTCTAGTAGATCAAGAAAATGGAGCAATAAAGACCTAGGGTACATAAAAGGTTATTAGATCTGTATTTTTAAAGAGTTTGAGGGGCACCTGGGTGGCTCAGTCGGTTAAGCATCCGACTTCGGCTCAGGTCATGATCTCGCGATGCGTGAGTTGAGCCCGTGTGGGGCTCTCTGTGCTGACAGCTCAGGAGCCTGGAGCCTGCCAGTTCATGTCTCCCTCTCTCTCGGCCCTCCCCCACGTTCATGTCTCCCGGTCTCAAAAATAAATAAACGTTAAAAAAAAAAAAAAAAGAGTTTGAACCAGGAACTCCTTTATAAATCTTAAAAGATCAGGGCGGCTGGGTGGTTCAGTTGGTTAAGGGTCCGACTTCAGCTCAGGTCATGATCTTGCTTTGCGGTTGGAATGAGTTGAGCCCCACGTCCCGGGCTCAATAACACAGCTCAGAGCCTGGAGCCTACTTCACATTCTGTCTCTCTCTCTCTCTCTCTCTGCCCCTCCCCTGCTCATGCTCTGCGTGTCTGTCTCTCTAAAATAATAAACATTAAAAAAAAAATCTTAAAAGATTTTTAATGATTTCACAACACCAATGATCAATGGGGAAATTAAAGCGGTGCACATCCCCAGTCTACGTTCATAACAGACATTTTTAACAAGCTATATAAAAAGCCCCCTCTTTCGTGGTATAAAATTTCTTCTCCAATTCAATCTCCCAACAATATAATTTTTATTGGTGGAGGGATAATCATGCCACCAAGACCTTTATCTTTAATTGATAAATTTGGTCCTAGAAAGTACCCATTTGTTCCCATATGATTTCTTCAGCATCTTGTAGCATCCAACATGATGATGGTGCTTATAATCCTCCCTCCTCAAATATCAAAATTACATGGAAGTCTTCATATCAACTAAGAAAGGTGAAGGTAAGATATGCTAAGCAAAAGAAGACTGCAGATTATCACTGGATGAATCAATTAACACCTAAAGAAAATTAAGAATAAAAAGGGAAGGTTGTAACAGCATGCACCGTCTTATATCCTTGGGCACAATCTGGAAGAAATATTTTACACAGATAATCAGACCTCAAACTTTAACACATGAAGGAATTAGTTGGCAAACTAGTTAAAAGTGTAGATTTCCAGATCTCACAGACTGTCTGTCATTCAAGAGATCTAAAGTGGGCCCAAGAAGGTGTATTTTAACAACCTAGGCTCCTAGATGAACACTGTCCATTGAAACCTAAGCATTTCTCAGAGTAATAGCAAGGAGAATGAAAAACAAGAGGGAATAAGTACAAATTTGGTAACAAAGCGAAAAGTTAAAATGTAAACACCTATTCCAAAAATCCATCTCATGTCTGCTTTCCTAGCCTATGGCACAGAACATTTAAAAAGCAATGCATGGGGCGCCTGGGTGGTGCAGTCGGTTAAGTGTCTGACTTCAGCCAGACACTCGCGGTCCGTGAGTTCGAGCCCCGCGTCAGGCTCTGGGCTGATGGCTCAGAGCCTGGAGCCTGTTTCCGATTCTGTGTCTCCCTCTCTCTCTGCCCCTCCCCCGTTCATGCTCTGTCTCTCTCTGTCCCAAAAATAAATAAACGTTGAAAAAAAAAATTTAAAAAAAATTTAAAAAAAAATAAAAAGCAATGCAAAACTTTTACTGTCCAAGAATATCATTATTACATATTAAAATACTTTTGAAAAAGTAGCAAAGGAGCTTCCGGGTTAAGGCACTTGTGAAATCTCCTAATTATATTGCTCAATCAAATTATTCAGTCAACATGTTTATTGCCTCAGTTTACTTTTATGAAACAACACGCTTTGAATCCGAAATTAGCTCATTTTAGTTATCAGAATTTCTGCCAAGAAGCTTTAACCAATATTCAGCCACTGGGTTTTGTTCGTTTTCTTCCTGAGCCATGGAAGGTTTCAAAGGGGTCAAATTTGCTTGGGCTGAATATTCCACTTGAGACAAATAGACATACCCCTCCGTTGTTGCCTGAACAACCAAAGATGGTCCCTATTATTAATACCAGATATTTCACTCGGGTCCTGCTTAGATCGAAGACGTTCCCATACTTGGGGCACCTGGGTGGCTCAGTCGGTTAAGGTTCCAACTTCAAGCTCAGGTCATGATCTCACGGTTCACGAACTCAAGCCCCATGTCGGGCTCTCTGCTGTCAGTACGAAGCCCGCTTCGTATCTTCTATCCTCCTTTCTCTCTGTCCCTCCCCAAGTCGCTCTCTCTCAAAAATAAAAATAAAATAAACTTGAAAATGAAAAACTTCCCATACTTTTTTTTATGTCTTAGAAGATGACAAAGTTGAGAGCATCTCTAAACAACAAAATAATTCACTAAGACAGTGAATTTAAATTAGATTTCTGCATTGCTACAAGTCATCACTCTAAGTCGAACAGGTAATTCTCTCTTCTCCTTTCAGAAACTTTCTTAATTACTTTGATTTCTAAAACTCTTACATTGCAGTTTGGTGCTAATAAGCTGCAGAAATAGCTCTTTAGATCAGAACTGCTTCCAATTTCTGAAGATTAACTTCCTATACTAAAATCTCGACATTCAACATCAGAGATTAATTCACAGAAGAATATTACAGTTATAAGGAGGCATTAAGAAATGACTATAATACTGACACACGAAATTCAACTTATTTTAACCATAACGTCCACCGTGTTGATGGGTGTAAGAGTGACAGCTGCAACTCAGATTATGATTTAATTAGCTTATTAAATTCTACGTCAGTACATGTTGCTAGATGAAAACTATGCTTCTGGTTTTTTTTTAAAGTTTATTTATCTAAGAGACAGAGAGAGAGTGCAAGCAGGGGAGGGGCAAGGAGAGAGAAGGACAGAGGATTCAAAGTGGGCTCTGTGCTGACAGCAGAGAGCCTGACGCTGGGCTTGAACTGACAAACCGTGAGATCATGACCTGAGCTGAAGTCAGACACCTAACCGAGCCACCCAGGCACCCCAATATGCTTTTGTTTTTATGGGGCACCTGCATGGCTCGTCAGTTGAGTGTCTGACTCTTGGTTTCAGCTCCAGTCACGATCTCAGGGTCATAGGATTGAAACTCACGTCAGGCTCAGTGCTGAGGGTGGAGCCTGCTTAAGAGTCTCTTTCTTCCTCTGCCCCTCTCCCCACTCACACTTTCTCTCTAAAATAATTTTTTTTTTTGAAAAAGAAAGAAATCTGGGGGCACCTGGATGGCTCAGTCGGTTAAGCACCCAACTCTTGATTTCGGCTCAGGTCACGATCTCGCTGTCCGTGAGTTCGAGCCCCGCATCAGGCTCTGTGCTCACAGTGCCACGCCTGCTGGAGATTCTCTCTCTGCCCCATCCCTCTGCACGCGTGTAAACGTGTGCTCTCTCTAAATAAATGGACTTTTTTTTTTTTTTTAATTTTTTTTTTTTTTCAATGTTTATTTATTTTTGGGACAGAGAGAGACAGAGCATGAACGGAGGAGGGGCAGAGTGAGAGGGAGACACAGAATCGGAAACAGGCTCCAGGCTCTGAGCCATCAGCCCAGAGCCCGACGCGGGGCTCGGACTCACGGACCGCGAGATCGTGACCTGGCTGAAGTCGGACGCTTAACCGACTGCGCCACCCAGGCGCCCCGACTTTTTTTTTTTTAATATGCTTTTGTTTTATATATTTTGGCTGAAAAAAGTTGGTGTGAAAGAAGATAGCCTAAACATATTTCTGTTAACTCTGGTTATTCACATGACTTAATTACTCAAAGGGAGCCTCTGCTTCTCAGTGGTCTTCTCCTCTCACTCTCTCTGCTCCTTCTGTAGGCCCCCATCAGTTTCGCAAGACATACCATACTCCTCCATCCTGCCTCCAGAACCTTCTCTGCATGGTGTTCCATCTGGATCACTTCTCCCATCCTTCCCTTGAAATCACGCCCACTTCCCACGTTACCTGGCTAATTATTACCTATTCCTCTGGTCTCAGCTGAACGTCACCTCCTGAGGGAAGTCTTTGTTAACCCCACCACACCCATTCTCCCTCAATAAAATACAGTCTCCTGGTACCTGTTCCCATGGCACCTGATACTTCTTCCTGGTACTCTACATACTTATACTTATTTAATTGTAACTTTTCCTTATTAGCTATGAGGCCCATAAGAGCAAGGAACATGATTCACCAATGCAGTGGTGATCAGTAAGTAATCTGACGAATGGAATTTTAAATGAGCAATAAAGCTTGGCACAGTTTCTCTGTATTTTAAAAACATTTTAGGGGCACCTGGGTGGTTCAGTCGGTTGAGTGTCCGGCTTCGGCTCAGGTCATGATCCCACGGTTGGTGGGTTCGAGCCCCACGTCGTGCTCTGTGCTGACAGCTCAGAGCCTGGAGCCTGCTTCAGATTCTGTGTCTCCCTCTCTTTCTGCCCCTCCCCTGCTCATGCTCTGTCTCTCTCTCTCTCTCTCTCTCTCTCAGAAATAAACATTAAAATAAATAAATAAATAAATAATAGAAAAAACATTTTGAAGCTGTGCTCAAGTCTAGCTTTTGTTTTCTAAAAGTATTTAATGTATCTCTTCAGTTTAAATGTTTATTCACTTTCTGACTAAAACAAGCAAGATTTCATTTTCCTAAAAAAAGATGCAATTCTTTAATATTTTTAAAGGCTTAGATGTAAGATTACGTTGACTCAAAAAAAAAAAAAAAAAGGGTAAGCAATTATAAAAAGAGTTAACAGTTGGAACATGTTTGAAAATTATCCCCCAGGAAACATGCTGAGTCCTAGGCTGGAAAAATTGGGCACTGTTCCAGTAAACCTAAGACGAGGAGAGACAGAAAGGTACATTTAATAGATGTCCCACCCAGCTACATGTCCTGCCCCTTCTGAGATCAGGATATACACTCCCTGCAGAAGAAACGGGGATTTCTTAAAAAATATACACTCATTCTGCTCAGGAGTAGCAGAAAGGATGGGCTGGCATACAGGTATGGATGAAAGAATTAAGCAGACAAAGTATTGCTATTCATCAGAGGACTTTTCAGCAAAACATTAAAAACTCTGTATTATACATTTTTGTAAGTTACAAATAAAGAAAATTATGCTAGAGGTGATCAATAATGAAAGATACAGTATTACCTAATATTCCCATATCTGTCCATACTGAAAGAACCATGCTTGACCACCATCTTGAAAGGTGGTTGGTGTTAGCAAGGATTCCAACCATCATATGAACAAGGCCTTTAACAAAGCAATCCAGTTTCTCCAGTGTGTCACTAATGGGATTGAAACAAAAAGGTGATTCTGGCTACACTGAAAAGCATCAAATAACATGGGATTATTATTAATGACTCAATTTCTTGTGCATCTACACGTCAGCACAATTATAGATGCTTGACGTACGTCATCTCGATTACTACTCCCCAATACCTAAAATACAGAAAGGTATCCCCATTTGACAGAAAAGTTAACAGGTTCAAAGGGTTTAAATAATTTGCCCAATGACATAAACCGGCTAAGTAGGAAAGTTGGAATTTAATTCTAAAGCCTATGCTCTTTCCTTTATGGCCTCGCTAGGGAAGTCAAGTGTTCAATTCTAAAATGGAAAATCATGCTCCTACACAAAATACATACGCAAACAAAAACCAAGCAGCACAGTGATGGGAAGGTCGGGTGGCTCCATCACTCACTAGTCCTCCCAATCTCGCCACAATTCAAATCCATGCTTTGGCAAAATGTTTAATTTACTACATGACTTGGGCCTTCAGATAACCATAACAACAAAATGTCCAATCTAGTGACAATGGTCTGCTTCTGGCCATCAGTAATACTTACATTTTATTCTAAGGACTTAAGCACAAATAACTGTATACATATGGCAGGATAAAGCACCATAATTAATCATAATACTGGGGACCAAAATTTTCTGTATAAGAGAAAAGAGATTCACGTATAATTTCAAAGAAGCTTCAAAAGTCTATAATGTTAAACACGAAATGGAAATATGAATTCCAAATCATAATTTTTAATATATTTCTAAGCTCTTTCAACTAGAAGTGATGATAATGATGTAGCAGTGACCAAACATCCTACTTATGCTTTCTAAATACCTTTCCTCTAACAAAAATCAGAACTCCTTGGAGTATTGGCTGATTGTGGATCTAGGAAAAGTAATATAAACGTGACCCTAGGAAATCCTGAACCAAAAAACAAGGAAGTAACCAAAGACTAACGCATTCATGTCAAAAGGACATAGGAATAAGCTTAAAGGGAGTCCTAATGACAAAATTTTGGATGACCTGAGCATCCAAAGAAGAGAGTAAAACTACATTGAAAGACACTAAATCTATAAAATTCCTTGTGTCTATGATGACACTCAAAAAAAAAATGAAAGCCTTACCCAACAGGAAAAAGGAAAAAAACAAACAAACCCTATTTGCTACCACTGGAGGTGAGTATTAAATCAACTCTTTACTCTGAAAATTAGTACTGAAAAAAAAAAATCAATTATTTATCTTGCATTTTTAGTAGGAACCACAATACAGATTACCCAAAGAGCTCCAGTTAATGAGGTAAAGTTCCTTTACGCAGAACAATGCCAAGTTTACAAATGTAAAAGAAAGGATGCAATGAGAAAAGTCACCATTCTGCAATCCTTGACAGAATAATTAATTCAAACAAGGACTGTGAATGGATGCTAAAATCATTAAAGGAAAGAGTAAGGGGGGAGGGCGCCTGAGCGGCTCAGTTAGTTAAGCGACTGACTCTGGGTTTCGGCTCAGGTCATGATCTCACGGTTGGTGGGACTGAGTCCCACGTAGGGCTCTGCGCTGACAGTGCAGAACCTGCTTGGGATTCTCTCTCTCTGCCCCTCCCCTGCTCATGCCCTCTCTGTCTCTCTCTCTCTCTCTCGCTGTCTCCAAAATAAACACATAAACTTTAAAAAATGGGAAAAAAAAAAAGGTGGGGGAACTGGATACTCTCAGTGCCCAAGTATCACCTCACAGATTACTCGCTAGCTGCAAAGGGGAACAAGTTAACTTTTCCATGGTGAGGTCTGGCTGTCAAAATCTCAAGCATTCAAAAGTCACATCACCATTAAAGATATAACCAGAAAGCAACGCTTCCTGGTGTGATGCACTATGAACACAGCATCACCCACAAAATACTGTCCAAAAATTTCTAACTTACATCGAATCAAGCCTTTGGGTCCAATTTTTAATTTGTAAGAAAGCAAGGGAAACAAATCGAGTTAAATATCACCAGGAAGAAATAACCAGATAAATCCAAAATGCGGGTCATTCCGTAAGAAGTTATTGTCAGACCCTTGACCAGAACCTTCAACAAGTTGCTGTCATGGCACAAAGGAAGCTGTGGGGAACCATCAGAGATGGAGTGAGGCTTCAGAGGCATGGCGACCAAATGCAACGTGTGAAACCTGCCTCGGCTCATACCCTCCCATCTTTAGCAGATACTAAGTCCTCAGCATCTCCTCAAATGCCAATGTGCACGAAAACCAAACCAGGAAAAAACCAACCGGATATTGTTATTACTTTTCCAACCAACGGAAGTTAGTGTTTCACCATACTCTACTCACCTCCACTTAGCAGCTTCATGACTAGCCACAGCTCATCTTTTACCACAAAAGACGTGTAGTAAGACACAATATTAGGATGATGGCACTGACTCATGGCTTGAATTTCTTTCTACAAGGAAGAGAAAACATGATTAATTTATTATATGCAAGCCTGAAACAACACTACAAGTGAGTGAATTCAGATTTGTAAATCCAAGACTGGCTTAAACCTCTGTGAGATCTCCATGGCGCTGACCTCCTTGAGAAGAGTTAAACGAAAAAAACCCCTCAGTTTCCCTCAGTCCATTCTGACTAGTCATTCCACTCATAATCTTTGAAACTAGAAACATGCACTACTTATCACAGCCTCACACAACACCGCAAAGGCCTCCGTGGGGACACACATTGTTACTTCAAGGTGCTCTTGAAAAAGCATCTTGGGAAATCTGGTTTTACAGCCATAGAGCATAATGACTAATAAACAGAGGGTGGTTTTTGTTTTGTTTTGCTTGTCTTAAAGTGTCTTTATTCTGTTTTTAAAATGTATTTTTATTATTGAAAGATAGTTGAAATACAATGTTGTATTAGTTCTAGGTATACAACACAGTGACTTGACAATTCTATACGTTACTCACTGCTCACCATGGTAAGTGTGGTCACCATACAATATTATTATAATATTATTGACTATATTCTCCATGCTGGACTTTCCATCTCTGTGACTTAGTTATTTATAACTGGAAGTTTATATCTCTCAATCTCCTTTATCTAGCTCACCCATCACCCCGCGCCCCCACAGTGAGATTGTTCTCTGTATTTAGCAGTCTGTTTTTTGTTTGTTCTCGTTTTGTTTGTTAGATTCCACATGCAAGTGAAATCATACGGTATTTGTTTTTCTTTGTCTGACCTACTTCACTTAATATAGTATCCTCTAGGCCCATCCACGTTGCCACAAATGGCAGGACTCCATTATTTTTTATGTCTGAGTAGTATTCCACTATGTGTGTGTCTGTGTAAAAATCACATCTTTTTTATCCATTCATCTATAGATGGACACTTGGGTTGCTTCCAAATCTTGGCTATGGTAAGTAATGCTGCAATAAACACAGGGGTGCAAATATCTTCTCAAATTAGTATTTTCATTTTTAGGCGGTAAATACCCAGTAGTGGAATAATTACTAGATCATATGGTAGTTCTATTTTTAATTTTTTGAGAAGCTTCCATACCGTTTTCCACAGTGGCTATATCAGTTTGAATTCCCAGTAGTACACGAGGGTTCCTTCCCTTTTCTCCACATCCTCACCAACACTTATTTCTTGTCTTTTTGATTTTAGCCATTCTGACAGGTGTGAGGTGGTTTTGATTTGCATTTCCCTGATGATGAGTGATGTTGAGCATTTTTCATGTGCCTGTTGGTCATCTGTAGGTCTTCTTTGGGAAAATGTCTATTCAGGTAGAGGTTCCTTTTTGGTTTGTGCGTTTTGTTTTATTTTGAAAATATCATTTCATCCCATTTTTGTGAATTAATTAACAATTCTCACTCTGAAAAGAAATCTCCTGAAGCAGGACAAGGTCATAAACTAAATCCAAAGTAGAAACCTGAGCACCCTCTAAGTTTATCTACAACCTTGGGGTTATGCATTTAAATTAGGCTGGGTGAGATAAAATGCCTCATATAGCCCTGAGTGCTCTGGGCCCTGCCTACCTCTCCAGTCTCAATCCTACTCCCTTCACTGACCGTACCCCAAAATACCCTCTACAATCCAGCCACAGTAAACTTCAGGTGAGCACGCTTCTTCAACCATGGATATTTAACCCTATTGTTCCCTATGCCTCAAATAGACTTCCATCATTATTTTACCCTAGCTAAAAATGCCAATTCTTCCTTCTGATCTAGCCAAAATATCATTTCCACCAGTTCCCCAAGGTTGCTTCCAAACTCCCTGTGTATCTCTTTATATCACAGCCCATAGGTACTGGATAGTGCATTGGGTACTTACTTATCTGTTCCTCCCTGGTGGACTGAGAGCTCCTGAAAGCAAGTACTTCCAAAAGTGGATCCCTAAATGCAAGCTGGTGCATATTACACACACACACACACACACACACACACACACACACTGGGCTATTAGCCTAAAAAAGAATGACATCTTGCCATTTGCAATAACATGGATGGCCCTAGAGGGTATAATGGCCAAGTGAAATATGTCAGAGGAAGACAACATATGATTTCACTCATATACAGAATTTAAGAAACAAAACCAAGAAAATAGACAGACAAAAAACCAGACTCTTAAATACAGAGAACAAATTGGTGGTTGCCAAAGGGGAAGTGTGTGTGTGCGGGGGGGGGGGGGGGGGGGGGGGGGGGGGGGGGGGGGGTGAAATAGATAAAGGGAATTAAGAGTATACTTATCGTGAGCACTGAGTATTGTACAAAATTGTTGAATCGTTATACTGTACTCCTGAAACTAATATATAAGTGTTTGTTAATTATACTTGAACGCTTAAAAATCCACACAAAAAAGTAGATTCCCTAAACACTGCAGAACTTATCATATTATATAGTAACTGCTTATTTATTTTTCTGTATCCTTCACAAAACTTTAAGCTCAATGAAAGCTAAGACTCTGTATTCGTGGCACTTAACACTGTGCCTGGCGCACAGTACACCTTCAACAAATATTTATCGAATGAATTAAATATTATTTTATACAACTTTTTACTTACTCAATTACTGTACTTGCCCTATGCCCTCGGTCTTTGTACAGTAGAACCAATTGTGTAAAAGTTGCCCATAGGCTCTGATTCAAAAGCAGTGCTCTGTGAACCTTAGTTTTTCTTATCATTTCTACTTGAATGTAAATTCCTTTATAGCCAAGGACCTTGCCGTACGCATTTTTCCAACCTCCAAAGGCACCAACACAGTCTTCTGTACTAAAACCTAAGTAAAACTAAAGTCAGCACCTGCCTGTTGACATAGTGCTATGAAGATTAAAGGAGATGAGAAGTACATATGAGAGGGAATATATAGGACAACATATATTGCCAGCAAGTTGTAAAGATAGCACGTTACAAGAATCCTCTGGAAAGAACAATGAAGGTAGGCAGGAAGTCCTTGCAAAGGAGGTAAGAACGAGGTTTAGTGCGGTAGGATATAGGGAAAAGACAGCAGTAGAAGGTGAGAGGCACACACCACACGAAAGATGAAATACGCCAAGACAGATTTTAGAATGCAATGAGTAAACCTGTCTAAGGCAAGCAGTTCATGCTTTCAACGGACATTTACCAATGTGCCAGGCGCAGTGCTAGGTGCTTGGCTACGAGGGTGAGCCCTCATGAAACTTACAGTCGAGTGAAGAAGTCAGACCAATACTAATTTAACAACACACAATGATAAATAGTTTGATAGGAGAAGTACTAGATACTACGTGATTTCACTGGAGAGGCCAATTATAGGAGTGATAATCAGGGATGGCTTCCTGTAAGTTTTACAGGTTTGACTGTTGAGTTACTTGGGACCGTATCATAAAGGACTGTGTAAGTGTGTTCAAGAATTCAGGCTTCATCTTTTTTTTTTTTTTTTTTAATTTTTTTTTTTTTTCCAACGTTTATTTATTTTTGGGACAGAGAGAGACAGAGCATGAACGGGGGAGGGGCAGAGAGAGAGGGAGACACAGAATCGGAAACAGGCTCCAGGCTCTGAGCCATCAGCCCAGAGCCCGACGCGGGGCTCGAACTCACGGACCGCGAGATCGTAACCTGGCTGAAGTCGGACGCTTAACCGACTGCGCCACCCAGGCGCCCCGAGGCTTCATCTTAACAGCAAAGGGAAGGCATCAGAGGTTTAACTATATATGCCATTTCATTAAAACACTCTAGCTACAATTAGAAAATAAGTGTGGGAAGGCGAGACTAGAGGCAATGATACTGCCTAAGGCTGTTGCTATGACCTGGGTGAGGGACAATGGTGGCCTGAAAAATTATAAATAACTACTCGGTTTGGGTATTTACACTGTGGTTATGTTACTGTCAGGAGAACCTGGGTGAACAGCATACAGGAACTTTCTGTACTTCTTTTGCAACTCTTCTAGAAGTTTAAAACTATCTCAAAATATAGTTTTAGGGGCGCCTGGGTGGCTTAGTCTGTTGAGCGTCCCGCTCTTGATCTCGGCTCAGATCACGATCTCTGGGTTCATGAGACTGAAGCCAGGACCAGGCTCTGGGCTGACAATGTGGAGCCTACTTGGGATTCTCTCTCCCCGCCCTTCCCCGACTTGTGCACATGTTCTCTCCCTCTCAAAATAAACATCTAAAAATAATTTTAAAAAACAGAATGCTAAAAAAAAAATAAGTGGCAATATGAATGGAAAGACAGGGAGGAGTCAAGAGCTATGCTGAAGAAGTATAAACCATAGGACTTGGTGACTCACTGGATGAGGGAGGTAAGACAGTGTGAAAATTCATGCACAGAGTTGGGGTCAAACTGTCCAATGTCTTAAATTGAAACTAAGGGTTTTCAGCTTTACTCTGGGGCGTGGCGGGGGCGGGGGGAGGAGGTGGGCAGGGACAGCTCACAAAGGGTCTTCTAACAGGAGACTATCAGAGAACCATCAAATTCAAAAACCGAAAGGGCCTTAAAGATTTCTTTCCTTCTCATCTATTCCTTTAAGGGGTGGGAGGGAGGGTTCCTTTATCTTAACTCCCACTGAAATTATCCTTTTCCCTTTCAGTTCAAAAGGAAAAATATGTATGTAAGTGTTTTGCAAGAGTGCTATATTCCTGACTCAATTTTCCCAGTGGCTCCCTTCCACATCAAAACGAATTCCACCCCCCTACTGAAAGTGCTTTCTTGACAGTCCCATTACCTGCTGCTGCCACAGCTTTTGTGTGGACTTCGTTCTCCACCGGAAGCTCTCAAGTATTGCTTAACGATCACTTTTCATTCCTGGAACGCATCTCCATTTGTAACATTTACTCCTGATTTTCTGATTACCCCAATGCAAGCAGTTTTCATCTGTTTCACACCATTCAGTCAGGCCCCCAAGTGATGTTAAGTTATTCACTCACACAGAGTGAACACAATAAAGTCCCTGCCCTCATGGAATGCTCAATATGAAACAAACAAT